TTTAACTTCATATTGAATTTGGGGAGAATCTAAATGCATCTGATAAATGTTGGATGTGATCCCCTCCTGTGTTGACTTGACTAGCATGTCATCAATATAGACTTCCATGGTTTTTCCTAGATGTTCTTAAAATATCTTCGTTACTAAACTCTGGTACGTGGCTCCAATATTCTTTAGGCCGAAAGACATGACTTTATAACAGTAAGTCCCCCTGTCTGTAATAAAGGAAGTATTTTCCTCATCTAAAGGATTCATTTTTATTTGATTATATCCTGAGTAGGTATCTAAAAATCTCAACAATTCATGTCCTGCAGTAACATCAATTAGTTGATCTATATGTGGAATAGGAAAAGAATCTTTAGGGCAAGCTTTATTCAAGTAAGTATAGTCTACACAAACTTGCCACTTACCATTATTTTTGGGCACCATTAGAGTATTAGCTATCCAATTAGGATCTTTTACCTCTCGGATAGACCCGATTATTAAAAGCTTTCGTACCTCATCCTGAATCACTTGATTTTTGAAGGATTCTTGCTTTCCTTTCTTCTGTTTGATAGGTGGGTATGTGGATCTTCATTCAACATATGGGTCATCATCTCCAGTGGTATACCTATCATATCTGAATGCGACCAAGCAAATCAATCTGCATTAGATTTCAAGAATTCAATTAACTTACCTTTCATCTCTGGGCTCAGGTTGGTTCCGATGTAAACTTTTCTATCCGGCCAATGTATAAACATCACCACAGCTTCGAGTTACTCAATTGTTTTTTTGATGTTTTCATTCTCTTATGGCTCTTGAATAGTATCAGGCCTTGAGTCTACATTCGCTTGTCCATCTCCACTTGAGGTTTGAGTCGTTAAACCCTCAGCTGAATTCTATAATTGCTGTTTTTTGTCTACAACGTCATTTTTTATGCTTGAATCTGCCATTGAATTGATACTTCTAGAAGACTATTGATCACCACAAATTTTTCTAATTACCCATTGGGAAGGGAACTTAATAACCTGATGTAAAGTAGACAGAACAACATCCATCTCGTGAATCCAAGGTCTGCCGAAGATCATATTATATACCATGTCCATATCTATCACTTAAAATTTTGTATCTTTGACTAATCCTTCTACAAATGTGGTGAGCATTATCTCCCCTTTAGTAACAACGCTTGAATTGTCAAATCTAGATAAGGTACGTGCTTTGGGTACCGATTTGTCATCAGCTTGCATCTCATATACCACTCTTAAAAGAATGATATTTACAGAGCTACCTGGATCAATCAAAACTCATTTCATATTAGTGCCATGTACAAGTAAAAATATTACCAGTGCATCATTATGTGGTATTAACACGCCATCTGCATCATCAAATATTATATTGTCTTCTTCCAAAACTTGGCGAACTCGCTTTCTGTGGGTAACTATGACTTTTGACACCTTTTTTGCAGCCGTATATGTCACACTGTTGACCTCATATCCTCTTCTTATCACATTAACTATTCTTTTCGGTGACGAAGGTTTTGGTGGCTCCTATCTATTCTTCATATATTCTTGCTTACCCTTCTCACTAAACAAATCGGTCAAATAACCTTGTTTTATCAAGTGCTCTACGTCACCTTGTAGCAATCTTCACTCTGCTGTTTTGTGATCGTGATAATTGTGAAACTCGCACCAGAAACCTGGGTTTCTTCTGCTAGGGTTCGATCTCATTTCTTTTGGCCACCGCACCTCATCTTCGATACTTCTTAAAATAGCTACCAATTCAAATGTGCTAACATTGAAACTGTGATCACCAATCTCTGCTTTTGAACTAATGTCATTGTCCCGTGTATCATGCTCCTTTCTAAACTTGGATGACGAACCCACATCTCTGTCCCTTAATCTGGAATCGTACCTCGGGTTCTCTTGTTTTAAACATGAATCCATTCCTGCTGGTCCCATGTAAGGTTCGTACCTGTTCTTACTGGACCTTCTTTCAATTTCTGGTCGCCTCAAACTTGTTCTTTCATCTCCCCGTGACTGAGTGATAGTATCTTCTTCTATCCGTAGCTTCGTGCTATACCTGTTGTAAACATCATTCCAAGTTGTTGCAGGGAATTCTCGTAAACTTTCTTTAAGTCTCCTCGTGGCTTATGAGCTTTTTCCATTTAGGTTACTTGCAAATGCCATAGTCGCCCAATTATCAGGTACACATGGTAACATCATCCTTTCATGCTGGAATCTATCCACGAATTCTCTGAGTAGATCTGTATCTCCTTGTTTTATTTTGAAGATCCCGAGTGTGCTTTTATAAATGAATCTGCAAGCTCAACAAAAGAATCAATAGAATTTTCTGGTAAAAGAGAATACCATGTTAGTGCTCCTTTTGTGAGTTTTTCACCAAATTTTTTGACCAGCACTGACGCAATCTCTTGCTTGGTTAGTTCGTTGCCTTTCATGCTAGTTGTAAATGCAGTTACATAATCTCGTGGGTCGGTTGTCCCATCATACTTCGGGATATCGGGCATCTAAAACTTTTTTTGGAATTGGCAAGGGATTGGCACTTGGCTTCCAGGGTTATTGAGAATATTTATCAATATCCACTCCTTTAATCATGGGTGGCATACCAGGTATCTGCTTTATGCGATCTTTTTTCTCCTTGAGCTGTTTCTGCAAAGTTAGTACTAAACTTTGTAAATCAGAATTAATTGGGATACCTGACCTTCCATCGCGAGATTGCTGGGAGTTCCTCCACTTCCCGAATTGGCGAGTCCTGAGCGTGGGTTCTCTATAGTTTGGAGGTGGAGTTGGTGGTACAGTTATTAATCCACTAACAAAAGCTTGAAGAGCATTGTTGACATGTTTTGCAATTAGTTGCTTCAATTCATCTTCAATAGTTTGATCTTCCTCTTGTTGGTTATTCACATGTGATGTTGATCTATCAGGTGACCCTTCTCGGGAGTGTTGAGGAGAATTTTGGGGTGAAAGGATTGGAGTTCCATCCTCTTGTTGATTATGTTGGTTCAACTAATTTTGCTGGTTTTGTTGGTTGTTGTCATTAGCGGTCGACGTGATTTTTTGACAGAAAAATAAATTTGGAAAGTGAAAAGATTATCAGATTTCCGGGTAACAGAACCAATTTATTTAACCAAAAATTATGCACTTCGGTCAAGGCTTATTTTTGGAAGTACTTGGGCTACTGATAATCAAGAAATTCTATATTTTCTCAATGATAAGAAAGGAAATTAGAATATGAAATAGCAAAGTAAGCGATAAGAAACAAAATAAAGTAATTTTATTCCAATAATAATCAGAATGTGCCTTTACAAGTAAAATCCCCTTCCCTTATATATGAATTTATAAGTACAATGTTTCTTCCCTTTTATGACTGAATCATTATGATATTAATGAGACGTTATAATTGGCAATCGTAACTGTTCATGAAGATTCTGTAACGTCTATGATCATTCATGCACATTAATTGACGATTCATGAATCTTCCTTCTTTTTTGTCTTGATTCATTATGCCGGTGTCTCTTTATTTGGCAATTCAAATTCGAACGATCACACCCTTTTATCTCGTAGGTGATTTGCTCGTACCTATTACGATTCGTGCCTCTTTAATGCATCTCTCTAGCTGTTGCTTCCTTAGTGGTCCATGTATCTTGCCACATCAGCCACATATATAAATCCACGTGTAATATTTATTTTTACCAATACAACCACTACCTCTTCGTCGGCCTCCCCATTGCCAGCCTCTCACACCTCCTCACGTGTGCCTCTACTCTTCACATGTTCGAACCTATAAGTCTCGCCTCCTGTATCTTGTCCAAATAACTTCATTTTTAATTCTATCTAACATGTTATGCCCATAAATATATCTAACCGGTGCATCCCTTTTCCCCTATAAATAAAAGTAAAAGGTCATTATTGCCCCTGTACTATTGTAAATAGTACATGTCCTCCGTTTCACTTTACGTCCAAAACTCATCCTACCGTTAACAAACTTGATGAAATTGCCCCTAACCCTAACGGATGGCCAATGTGGGAGCTGACCATTCCATTTTTTCCACGTCAGCTGCCAAGTTAGCCTGCCATTAAGTTGAAAGCCCCAATTTGACTCCTAAATTATATTGACCCAACTTCACTCCCAAAATTCGACTCTTGAACGTGGACCTCTTTAAGAAATGTATGGAGCGGCCAGTTGAGAAATGTTTGAGGGATGCAAGAATAGACAAGGATAGTGTTGATGAGATTGTACTTGTTGGTGGATCAAGTAGAATTCCCAAAATACAACAGCTATTGCAGAACTACTTCAATGGTAAGGAACTTTACAAAAGTATTAATCTTGATGAAGTTGTTGCCTGCTGTACAAGCTGCGATTCTTAGCGGAGAGGTTGGTAATAAGAAGATTCAAGATTTGCTGATTTCGGATGTCACGCCGCTATCAATAGGATTGGAAACTACAGGAGGAGTTATGACTATGTTAATTCCAAGGGACACAACAATTCCTGCTAAGAAAGAGAGGATATTTTCAACATATTCAGATAATCAAAATGGACTGTCAATTAAGGTGTACGAAGGAGAGAAAGCAAGAACAAAAGACAACAACTTGTTGGGCAAATTTAAGCTCTCTAGTATACATCCTATTCCTAGAGGTGTACCTCAGATAACTATTTCGTTTAATGTCGATGCCAATGGAATATTGAATGTCTCTGCTGAGGACAAGACCACCGGTCAGAACAAAATGATTACAGTTACGAATGACAAGGGCAGGCTTTCGAAGGAAGAAATTGAAACAGGTCAAAATTTTGGGAGTGAAATTGGGTCAATATAATTTGGGAGTTGAATTGGGTCTTTCAACTTAATAAAAAGCTGACTTGGCAGCTGACGTGGAAAAAATGGAATGGGTCAGCTTTCACATTGGGCAATTCGGCAATTCCATCAAGTTTGTTAAGGTAAGGTGGGCTTTGGACGTAAATGAAACATTCGTGTACAGCGGCAATAGTAGCCTTTTTCCCTAAATAAAATGGAAGAATATGAAATATGTAATGATGGCAAAGTTTTAGTTCTTTCCCAATTAATATATCCTCCTTTATCTGTTGCGAGAGAGCGAACTGCGAAGTGTGAGCCATGGAAGTGACACTGCCTCCCTCATCTTCTTCTTCTCTCTCTATAATCCCTTCATTATCTGCTAAACCCCACAAAACTCATTTCAAATTCACCCTAAACTTTCCCAATAAATCATCTGAAAACCTCTGCTCTACCATCTCTTCTTCCAAATACTGTTGTACTTGCCGAAACAGAGCAACTTCAGTAACAGCTTCTTCTTATTCACCTATTACACCCACTTCTCCATCATCTTTGCACACTTCTTCTAACACCCAACGCCACTGGATGGTGCTTATGGAAACCCCGCCCAATGGGGTCAGTTCCAAACCTGAGGTCATTGATTACTATGTTCACACCCTTCAAAGAGTTTTGGGCAGGTACATTTGTTTCCTTAAAAAAAAAAACTACATTTTTATGCCTTTCACTATGTTTGAGGAGGGTTCATTTGGTTACAAGCATAAGGGATTTCCGGGATAAATTGTGGGATTATTTAATTCCGTGTTTGTTTGAATTTTGTTTCTGATATAAGCAATTCCGTGATTAGTTATATCACAACTTGATATATTATTTTTATACCACATTTAATGTGGAATAACAATCCCGAAATAGATAATCCCGGATAAAACAATAAAATGGCAAAAGTGCACTTCGCCAAAGCTCTTCCTCAAAACAAAAGTGTTTTGGTCATTGATTCTATGACTAGTAGGATATATTTTACTGTTTGATGTTCTATGTTTTTATCCACCATGTGCTTGACATTAGAATATTTGGTGATAAAATTTGAAATTCCATAAACTATTTCTTTCCTGTCTTTTTTTTTTTGAGGTATTTTTTGTCGAATAGGAAGCTTGTAATTTGAGTTATGCAATTTTTTGCCAATCCTGTTTGTCACTGTAAAACAATTTAGCCAGCCATTAGACTAGAGATGGCAATTTTCAGCATGCAGTTGAGGCCCTCCATTGCTAGGATGAATAGAAAGGGAGAGAGGATCCTCAGTGGCCTACACAAGATTTTTCATAAGCGTTGTCAGCATTTTAACACGTGAATAAATTAGTATAACAACAAGAAGTGTCATTTTTTATATTTATACCCAATATTTTCATTTTGCTTATTAACCATCTAGTAAATATTTTTGATGTGACACCGCTTGGGGCTAGGTATATCAGTCCCTGAGGCTCCCCTTGTCTAAGACCTCTTTGGGACGGAAAGAAACCATCAGGAGATCAATTAATAAAGAAAAGTAACCAGTTCAGCCACTTCCTTCCAAAACCCCTGTGTATGAAGATTTTGATTAGGAAATTCCAATTGGCATGGTCAAATGCTTTCTCAATATCCAATTTGCATAATACTCCAGGAATCTGACCTTTCAGTTTAGTATCCACGCATTCATTGGCTTTCAATGCTGCATCCGTAGTCAATCTATGTAAATCAACTACTTCATTAGCTGAATCTTACTCCAGGTAACAGGTAAGCCTGACACTGTCTCAAAAGCTATTTCGTAACATAGAAATTTGACTTCGAAAGGCATTGGCTTTACTGTCATGTTTCACTGTTAAGATAACAAAAGCTCATTTAAAGCTTCTGCAGTTTTGTTCTGTTCCTTTTTGTAAAAATTGTTGCTAGGACATCCCAAGCATCTTTTGCAGTTTACTGTTATTAGTTTATTACAAACATACATCCTTTCCTCTGAATGTCACAGAGAGTGCATATAATGCTTTTCCACCCTAGGCATTCCACAGTCTTGCTGCTTCAACATCATTTGGTGTGTGGTGTCTGAGCTGCCGATTATATCTAATAAATTGTGACCGAGAAAAGGATATTGCATTCCTATGCTCCACTATCCATAATTATGCATGTTGAGCTTCTCAACGCTACTGAAATTACTTACAAAATATGCCATGACTTGGTGTCTCTAGAGTGATACAGCCTCTGACTATAACTGGTAGAATCTTCCTTTGAGTTGCTACAAATCAGAGGAGATTTAAGTAGCCAGCCCCGATTGACCTGCTCTGGTGCCTCTTGTTAGATATAATCGGCTTCTTGCTATTTGAATTAAACTTAGATTAGCTTTAGTCTTCAAGCTTTGCATCTCAATTTTTCTTACAAACTCATATTAGCACGTGTCACCTCTTTTCCTGACTCTAAGCACTTATATTTAGCACCTCTTTTTTAGTTCGCTTTGTTTTTCATATACTCACAGTCCAAATGACCATCCATATATATAGGATGTAATGAAAGCATATAGTAAGGGAATACTTGAATATCTTGCTCCATTTATGTGTTTTCCAAATATCCACTTTAGGAATTATTCTAGAGTTCTTACTTGAGTTCTCTTAAAACTTATCTTGCTTTGAGAGTTTTAACAACTATCAATTCTTCATGAAACAGTGAGAAGGATGCTCAAATGTGCATATATATTGCTTCTTGTAATGTCCCATATGGATTTTGCTGTGCCATTGATGAGGAGGTAGCTGATGAGATTGCTGGTAAATTTCTTGTCTGCTCTCTTGCATGCTCTTCTCTATATATCAGTCAAGATTGAATTCTGGATGTTTGCTTGAAACTTTTCCTTTTTGACTTTGAAACAATAGTTCATTTTGTACCTTTTTGAATACTAGGTATGCCTGGGGTACTATCAGTTATACCTGACCCTGATTTTAACTCAATGGTGAAAGACTATAGCTACCCGAAGGGTCAGTTAAGTTCCCTATCAACTTCATACACTGAAGGCTCATCATTATTTCCGGCTGGCACTTCTAAACATTGGCTTGTTCTAATGGCCAGGCCATCTGTTGGAGTCATAAGAAAAGCCCCGGTTGTCGACTATTACGTTCAAGTTCTAACCAAAGTTCTTGGGAAGTAAGTATTTGTTTCTGAGTGTTTATATATTGTTATTTGAACTTCATTATTAACATTTTGCTAAAAGGACGTTTCTTGATGAAAGTGAGAAGGATGCACAGATGTGCTTATATCATGTGTCCTGGCAATCCAATTATGGATTTTGTTGTGAATTGGATGAGGCATGTGCTCAAGAATTAGCTGGTGAGGATACATGTCATACTAGTAACCTCACCCGTAATTTGTATTAATTTTTTTTTAGTGACAGTAAATATCTTGATGTACTAATGCAGGAGTACCTGGTGTTCTATCTGTACAGCCAGATGAAAATTTTGAGTCAGACAATAAAGACTATGGAGGTTTGAGATCATATCTTACTTTTACCCTGTTGAGTGCTACATCTTTGATGTTGAGGATTGGGTCGCCTAGAAGAATATCAAAATGAAAGCCATAAATGTGAAATGTCATAAATTTATTGACTTTCTCTAAACATCGTAATGTAGTATATCAGGAAGTTATTTTACAAAAGAAAAGATCTAGTATATCAATTCAACTTGAAGATTCTTTTCTTTTAAATTTTCTTGTGCATGCTCTTTTATAAACTTTAATTTCCAGGTTCTACCCATGATGATTCTAACTTTATAAGATGATCATATCAGCCCTTCATCTCAGAGATTAACTTCTTCTTCTAAGGGTGAATAAACCTTATTACCATATATGATATTGCATGTTAACCTCTTCAAAATATTTCATTGACAGTCTGGTCCTTGAAGGTGACTTTAGCCGTCTTACTCAAAATCAATACCAGTATCCACACATTAATCTAAAACTGCTCCCACTTAGATTTCCAGAAAAGAGTTGTCATCCCTAGGGAAAGGAGCCTTTATTATGATTTTCCCCAGAAATTGAACGAGAGGTTTGTGCTCTTGAATGTTAGTTTGGTAGTAAGAGGTATTTTTAGTTTTAAAAGTTGCTTGTATCTAATCATCTTTTACTTTTAGGAAGCTCAACTTGTTTTTTTCCCCTTCTTTTTTCCCCCTGTTCTCTAACCTTGATTTTGTATCAGCAAAGAAAGTAATGTTATGGCCAAGTTGATTTCGCTTTCTATTGACTATATTTTTTGTTAAAGGATGAAAGTGTTAAAAGTAAAGACTGTAGGTGTTATCTTTTCTATCAGAAGGAAAATAAAAGAATGTAGTATTACCTCATGCTCCTCTCTCGTAAATATTCAAATTAAACATGAGTTTCTTGACTACTTATCCTTTTGCAGAACTTCCTCGACATAATAATGGAGGAGGTTGATGAACTGGATAAGTTATTTGGTTCACTCTCTCTTCACTAAATGTACGTGGGAGATACATATTCATCTAGTTTGTCACAACGCTATAGTACAAAAGAGCATATTCTTTAAAAATAACTGAGTTGATCGGTTAAATATGGATGAAGCTATAGGTCATTTCATTGGTCTTATATTTGGGGAGGGGAAGTCACAGAGAGAACTATTTGTAAAAAGTGATGTCCCCAAATTTTTTGGGAATAGCTAATTACATGCAATATTCTCTATTTTTTGGAAGTTTGAATAGCCATGGTTTCTCAGGTGGGAATTTGAAGCTGAGTGAAGATTCCCAGGAATCTGCAGCACCAAAGGGGGAAACAGATGTTATAACCAAGAAGCTTTTTGTGACTGGTAAGTTGCAATTCTACATTCATCTCCAAAAAGTGCTGTTCATTTCCTAAATAAATTACTCATTTTCCATTTAGTACTAGAGATTACATTAGAGATTGTTGCCTTATTTCCATGATCTAACTGTTTGCAATGCACCTTTTCTGCACAGGTCTGTCGTTCTATACATCTGAGAAAACGCTGCGTGCAGCATTTGAAGGCTTTGGTGAACTAGTTGAAGGTGTTTATGCTTGTTGTCTTAAGATTTACTGCTTGATAGTGTAGTTATAAGAAAATCAATGCTCATGAATTTTCTCTGTATCCTAACAGTTAAAATCATAATGGACAAAATCTCCAAGAGGTCGAAAGGTTATGCTTTTGTTGAGTACACAACTGTGGAGGCCGCAAATGCTGCTCTCAAAGAGATGAATGGCAAGGTAATTTTTGAACAAAGTGCCTATCTTTCACTTCCACAAAATCATCTGTGCTAACAGAAATAATTAAGTCTGTTGATTTTGTGTTTCCAGATCATTAATGGCTGGATGATAACAGTTGATGCTGCTCGGACTAATCCTCCAAAATACAGCAGAGGACGACCCGGATCAGCTAGGTAATAATATAGAAGAGAGACTAGATATGGAGAAGGAGAGGGAGAGGTATTATGTAAAGATCAGAGAGATTAGATGTCAGCATTTTTTGGACATACAGGGAACTTAAAATCTGGTTTGGAGCCTTCAGGGAACGAGCTACATGGGGAAGATTACCATTGTGTTTTCTTTGCATGATTCTGTCCAAATATGCCCTTGTAAATCATTCACTGCTCAAATGATTGAGCCAGTTTTGAAGGCCATGTAGTTAGAGGTGGATCCCGGATTTAAACTTGGTGGGTTCAATCTTTATGTTCTCATGTTGAACCCGTTGCACTTTTTAAAATTACTAGTTTTAAGCGTGTGTATCCTGTATCAATGAATGTGTATTTTTTTAAAATTATCTAAATGTTATTAAATGATGAGTTTGAGTTATAGAACAAAAATTAAATAAAATGTGTAACTTCCTAAATAGAAAGTTGATCCGTTTTGGCTAACTTAATAAATGAAAAAATCCTCCTTGCAAAAGTCCTCATATGCGTTATTATGATTTCCGATGACTTGTGTAAGAATATTTTATGAAAACTATTACTATTGTTTTTGTGGCCTGATTTTAAAAATAAGTAACACATAAATATTTTAACTACGATTTTTAAAATAAAATGTCAAATATTATGAATTGAATAATTTGAACCTTTTGGAGTTCTATCGATTTATGAATGATGAGGTTGGGTTACAACTCCTAAAAAAAAATATAACAATATAAAATCTTTAAAATGATTAATGTTGAGTTAAAGTTTTACAAAAAATAACTTATTATATTAATACAGGAAATTGTCATTCATTGGAAAGAATGAATTCTGAAAGAAAGAATAATAACTTTTTGTCATATGTTATTTCATCCGTATTGCTTCAAATTTGTACAAACATCTCACTTGTAATAGCACTAACATAGACTCTTAGAATTATACGTGGCCTGCAAGAAAAATGAATGTCAAATATTTTTCATATGGAAATCAAATATAAGGAAAGGAAAACGTAATACATCTATTCGTCCCAAATAATTATTTTAAAGTGCTAAATATGAGGACTTCCTATATAATCTAAATAAGAAAAAATAATTAAAATTTTAATTGATTTTAAAATTTTAAATATTATAAAAATAACTAAATTACGATTTTATCAAATGTAATTTATATTGGAAAGATAAAAATTAGTCAACAGTCCAAATGTAATATCGAAAGAAATTATAAACATGCTCATATTGTTCAAATAAGAAAATAGTCTATAAGGTCCAGTACTTTTTATTTAACAATTCTAAATATTAGGACTTACCTTAAAGTTTAAATAGAAAGAATTTTATATGTAGTAATATTCTTATTGATCTCAAAATCTTAAATATAAGAAAATTATTGTGGACGGAATTATAGTCATATAGTCATCGTCATTATCACTTGCTATTCCTCTGGTCTATACTTCATGGCCATATTACCCCATATGAAGTTTTCGAAACCTCTTTCCTATGCATTTTCTTCCTTCGTAATTCAACTCTTTGGAATCAATTATACGACCAAATCATCTTGATCTCATGTCTTTGTTTTTGTTTTTTCCTTAAACGATAAATATTTGAGTATTAGAACTAACTCATATAATATGTTAATTAATTTTAAACTACAAAATATTCGGACGTCATATACTTAGTTCAAATAAGGAATGATTAATAATCAAAACTGTAGTTGATTTTAAATTCCTAAATATTAGGAGAGTCATTAATTACAATTTTATGCAATGTAAAATTTATTTTTAAAGAATAAAAAAGGCAAACGATATTTTGCTAGGGGCTTCGTGCTTTTAATTTGGCATATCAAATGAGAATACATACTAAGATTAACTATAAGATTCGACCATAATTATCTTACAGTTTTTGTTTTATACACTACTTGGTATTAGATATTCCATATAATGTCTTTTTAATCTTAATTTTTTTTGTCTATAAAATACTACACAGCTCTATAAAAGGGAACTTCTCCTTAAAGGAAGACGACCATAATTGTTTGATTTCCGGTGGATTACGTTTCCATTAAATTGCATATTTTGTTCGATAACTTAGTTTACTTACTCCTTTTATGTATTGGAATTTTAATGCACTAAATATTAGTCAAGAGACTACTAAATTCGTACATGGTATTAAATTACTAAATATAGGAGGACTTAAATAAGGAAAGAGCTAATGGCTAAAACGTTAGTTAAATTTGAATTCCTAAATTTTAGGAAAAACAATTGAATGACTATTTTGCCTAGTGTAAACTCTACTTTTTAAGGATAAAAAGATGAACGGCATTTCGCTAAGGGTCTTCGTTGTTTGACTCAAAAGATATTAAATTTTTTTTGAACAAATCAATCAAAGATGAAGGGGCAAATCTTAGTCAGGCATAATAAATTCCAGATCAAAGAGCTAGCAATGCGGATCATACTTAGGATGAAGGAAATGTAAATGATCTTATTGAGATTCACCATCGTATCTCCCATCCATCGATGAGGAGACCGCTTTACATGTTTTCCTAGAGATTCACTCTTCTCTATCAAGAATACTAAAAGAGAGCTTTTTAGCTTTAGAGAGAGGTAGGAGGAGCAGCCTCCCCTGTTGAAAGCTTTCCCTTGCTATTATAGTCGTGGCATCCTTGCCCTTTGCTTGGCTCGACGTTCTCTTGCCTCCAATGTATCTTAGTCGTGCTTTTAGGCGCCGCTCTTACCGACTCGTCGGATGCCGAGAAAGGGATATGGAGCGGGCTATACTATCTTTCACTGCCCAGTCACTTAGGCGAGATGTTGGTCAGCTCGGTTTTGGCGGTCAGATTTTGACCAATACAGTTAGTTCCTCCGTCTGTCGGGGTCGTCCTCTGTCAGGCTCGGCAGACGGATCATGATTATTACGAATTCGAGAGAAATTTGAACTTTTGACTCTTTGTTCCTTAGTTATGTTTCTTGGGTTTTTGGTGGAGTGGCGGCGCTCTTTCGATTCCCCTAGACCGTTGCAGCGGTTTCGGAACTGAAACGTCGTTTGGTATCAAAGAGTCGTTTCGTGGTTGCCTCCATTATTACACACGTTCCCTGGGAACTGAAACGTTTCGTGCCCTATCAGATTCGATTGGCGACTCTTGGGTTTCGTGCTCGGGGGATTTATGTCTCTTATAAATAGAGGGAGCTTATTATTCAATTGACACACTTTTGTACCTTTTATTTGAGAGAACCCTGCAGATATACTTTCTTTCTGATACTCCAACTTTCTGCTTGCCCCCTTGTTCACTGAAAATTCTCATCCCTTCTTTTTGTTATTTCTTTGGCGTGTTTTATGATAAAAATGGCTGGTGATTCTTCTCGCGACAATTTTCCTGTCGCTAGTCCGGTACCGAAAAGTTCTTCTCAGGCCACCGGAGGGGCAGATGCGGTGGAAGATGAGGAGGTCCCATCAGTGATTGAGATCCTGCCTCGCCTTAGGAGAGAGCCGGCTGACTTCAGTACTCCAACCGGGGTCGAACCGAAACCTATTCACTCCATTATGAGAGAAAGGGACATTGTAGAGTTGAAAGAAAGGTGGGGAGTCCCCAATTACGTTGATATGCGGCCGGCAGTGGGGAAAGACATAGTTCATTTCGACCGCCCCGGGTACTGCGTGTTCTACGCCTACCACTTCCTTATAGGGTACACACTTCCTCTTCCTTTGTTGGTGGTGGATTTTTGCCATTTTTATGAGGTATGCCCCGCCCAACTTTCGCCGTATGTGTACAATTTATTCCTTATGATGCTCAAGTATGCGGAACTCGCAGTCGTTAGGTCACTTTAGACCATATGCTCAGCATCTTCACCCCTCAACTTATTCGCGGTACGATGATTCACATGCATCCTCGAGGGTCGAGGAGTCTGGTGGTGAGGATGGACGACAGGACCAACTGTCCTTTCTACGAGAATTATTTTTACGTACGGACTGAGCACATTGTGGCGGACCCAACAGTATTCCCTAAGAAATGGAACTTTGCGCGTAAGTTTTTGTATCTTTAGTCGGTGAGATACCCGACCGTTTCCTGTTATGCTACTAAACTTTATCATGTATTTGCATCTGAGAGATTTCCCCCTCCGCCTGTCGAAGGTATTCATGACTGGGTAGGCGCCCTCCTTCCCCATACAGTGGGGATTCGCACATGGTCGACCTTTCATGATAGGTTCGGATGTAGGCCTCTTACAGGTGAGATGACGTTTCTATTTGCTATTCTTATTCTCTTTTTTCTTGGCTTCTTATATGTCGTTTGTCGATGTCAGGGAGAGTATGGAGAGCAAGGGCTCCTCCATTAGCTTTTCGTCAGCCGGCCTCATCTGCTCACCCTGCCGTGGTACCCATCGCCCGACCTTCATCGAAGGCTTCTTCAGTTGAGTCTGCAGCCTTGGTTACTCCTGCGAGGGTCACTTCTCAGGACGAGGTCCCAACCTGTATTGTTCACCCGATGGGTGAGTCACCATCTACTGGGGAAGAGGAGGGGCCATCGAAGAGATGAAGAGTGGAGTTTGAGACTGCACCCCCAACAGTGATTCATCTGGACGACTCTCCCATGACGGGCTCTAGAGAAGATGTTGTCGTGGCTCCCCCGTAAGGACGGAACCGGTTGTTGCTTCAGCTCAATCGGAATTTTATGCCATTGTCGGTGATCAGCAACCTGTCGCAGAGGAGAATCAGACTTTCAAGGTCACCGTCATGATTTCAGACATACCCTTGTCTTCTGCGATTGGTCGTGCTCCCCCTTCGGCTGCCTAAAGAGGGAAGGGCATGGTGATCTATGATTACGAATCCGAGTCAGACCTTGACCCTGATGATGTCAGGATGTTTGAAGAGGGCCTTACCCACTCAGTGGTTCATGCGGGGGGCTCAACCCGTATTCTTCAGATCCCTTCCGGTGTCAACCTCTTGGGGGACATGGAGGATCTAGTGCCGCAGTTTAGCCTGCTATGCTCCGAAGCCGAAAATGCGGCCCTTCGGTCCATTCCTGATGCTGATTTGATGGATGAGGTGGCCACTATGGGCTTAAGGGTACGTTGCGTTTTACTTTTGTTTTTCTTTGTCGTTCTTGAAAATACTGGTCTAATCCCGTCTTTGCATTTTCCAGACATATATGGTGGAAGTGGAAAGCATCCGCAGGGCCAACATTCGGGCCAACATTTTCTTGAAGTTGTTGGAGAAGTATCGTCGCTACCGCAACAGGTGCCGCGAGATGCATGAATGGCTGAAAACAAACCATGGTAATCGGGCTCTTGGCGAGGAGTTGGAGAAACAGGACCAGAAGTTGATGCAAGTTATTCGTAGCAAGAGTGCGCTCGAGGATCAACTTCAAATTAAGGATGAGGAGATCGAGTTGGGCAAGGGAGTCGCCGC